CCTGATCTGGGGATCGAGTTACTGTGGGACAGTTTTGCTTTGAAGATCTTTATGCAAATAATTTAATTTTTAATGGTATTTCGTTGATATCAAGACTTTCTGCTTTTCTCATGAGATAAAGATCGCACTGTCGAGACATACGATCTAGGGTTGGTTCCTGGTCGAATCTTGCGTTTTGTTGATTCGTGGAAGTTGACTTTTTTGGAAGCCTTATTTTCTCTTTTTTGTTTGCTTGCTTTCCAAATTATGGGTTCATTTTTAATATTTGACCAAAATCACTTATATTTTAAAGCCGTTCTGCACTTAGATAATTCACCAACTTTTACTTTAGTCATATTTTTGTTTCGTTTTTTCAATTAGTTTGTCTGATGCCAACATGACCTAGTTACAATATTTTGCGTTGCTTTCGCTAGTGATCAGCTTAGTGTAACATTAACTCGCAAATAAAAGTGTTCCATTATTTGGAAATTTCACTGTAGCATTGGAAATTTTCTGCGTTGTTGTCATTCGCATAAGGTTTTCGAATTTTTCGAATTGTTATTCAACGGCGGTAATTGTTTTTCTAGAAAAGTCTTAGTTAATTCGATGACCACGAGTCGAATGTAAGAAATTTTTGCATTGTCTTGCAAAAATTTTTTTGACTCCTTTTTGTCACTTAGTGGCTTTCATCTCTTTTTCAGCCTGATTGTTTACATTGCTTTATTTGTGTTGAATCGCAAGTGTTGCAACAATCCGCTTTTCTTTTGTGTTTAAAACGTTTTAACTTTTTCTTAAACGCAAAAGAACGAAGTGATTTTCACTTATTTAGGCCTTGATGTTTTTGCTTGCTTTTTTTTCAGGTAGAAGTCTTAAAGCGCTGCAGTATTTTCAGAAGTGCTTCCATGCATATCTACGAATTTACGAATATGCACTTAGGTGTGTATGTACTTTTTGAGTTCATCTCAACTTCATCTCATAAAAGTTAGTTAATCTAACTTAGCGGTCTCCAGTTAGGAAATCGGTAATGGCGCGACAAAACGTAACTGCTTTTAGTTTCAAAATCGGATTCCTTCATCAATATTTTGTTTCAGCGGCAAAATTTGACTGAATAATTTATAAAATCATTTATTTTTGCTCATCAAACGTCTCAAACCATTGCCGGCTTTGAAACGGCTTTCCTCAAATACATTTTCCGTGCTATGATAATGTGGTTGGATCTAGTTGTCTTCACAAGTTTTCTTCATGTTTTTTTAACTAATGACTTTGCTCGCTTTGCCAAGCGTGTGCTTCATTAGGTCTCACAACGTTCCACTTCGCCTCTGCGTTCAATGTAAACAAGAACGGTCGGTTGTTGTGCAGATAGAGAAGGAGACTTTCCGAAAACCAAGTTGTTCTCTTTTCATTGTTTGCAACCTAAACTGGCTTAGTACTGTCCTGTACGAAGGCTCAATTTATCTTATTGTTTGTACCACATTGTCCAAATTGTGTACATTTGCATATTTTTTTTATATTTTAGGTGAAGTTTCTCGATTGTATGTAAGGCAAATAAACCCCTAGCTTTCCTTTAAAAAGAGCTGTTCTTTAAAATGAAAAACAATGGCCTAGACTACTGCTGCCTTTTTACAGATTCGTATAAAGAAGAAATACTTGAATCATTTTGTTTCAAGTAGTGCAAAAAAACCAAGAAAATAAAAAATTTGTCATGGAATGAGCACGAACTTGAGCAAGCGCAGAAGATGATTTAACCTTTTGAAGCGCTGCTGAGAACTTTTTGTGTTTAATACTATCGTATATGGACCTGATTGTTTAACCTAGGTATAAATATTTACCCAGAAAAAAAAGGTTTAAAAACAATTGAGAGTTCGAAATCCTACAGTTCAGTTATCTTGAATCTGTTTATAATATATTTTCAAAACAAATACGAGCAGAGAAAAGTAACAAAAAACAGTTTTCATACCTAAAACTTATATTTTAAATTATTTGCTTTATTTCAATTACTAGGATGTTTTTTTGTGTGTACGCTTTATGGTTCAATGATTTTATTTTAAAAAAACTATCTCACAACTTTTCTACCAGAACAATTTGTTGAATTAATCGCAACCAATTAAATAATTATCTCTGATTTTAAGCATAAGGTTATCTATAGACTGTTTAAGCTCAATTAAATTTTCTTTCTGAGATTCTTATTGAAATGAATTAGAGAATTATATAGTGCCCATATTCGTACAGTTATTATTTTGTTGTTATTTCGTGTTGATTTGGTTTTGTTGTTACTGATTTTATCCTTCTAGTAGTATCGAGCGATTTGTCTAAGTTTGTTTTAAGAACATGAAAATGACGAAGTGAACAACTTTATTTCGTCTTATTACTTGCAAATTTTTTAAAGCGGTTTTTTTGGCAACAATCACCATATTGGTATATTGGTTGTATAAACTACTTGTTAATTCTAATGAGAACAAATGAGCTGATAAACTGTCTTGTTCGATAGAAAATGGAATTGAATCGAGCGAATTTTTACTGATTCAATATGATGGTTCAAGGTAACATTTTGATCCAAAATTAATCCCAGAAATTTAACTGCACTTTTTACTACTACCGTGTTTTGGTTCCAGGTAAAACTCTCAAAGTTTTTTGTTCTGTTGGTAATCTTTATTTATGTTTGTCTTATGTTTTTTGTAAATTAGTTTCCATCCATTCTGATTTTAAATCCAAATCTTTTTCAAGTTCTTTATTTTCGTTGAGTGTTCCAAAAACATTAGTGTCATCTGCATAAAGAATACATTCTCTGTGATGTGGTATGTTGGGAAGATAATTGATATAGATAAGAAAAAACTCACTTTATTCTGAAAATAGTCACAGTTTTGCATACAAAGTTTTAAACCTGGCTTGAAAAAATCAAATTATTTTGACTAGCTTCAAAAAGACTTAAATATTGTGGACTCAATAATCGCCAAATTTTCATGCAATTTTGATGCTCGCGGATTGTACAATTTTGTCTCGAGAAACGTGAACTTGTTGGAAACCACCGGGTCGCAAGTTAACCTTGCGAGGGCGAATTTTTGGTCGATCGTATTCCTTGAAAGAACTTTGGCTTCGAATAAATTTGTCATTCCGGCTGAAAATTGTAGACGAAAAACTTCAATTGTTGGTATAGTTTGTGCAGATACTTCAGACGTTTTTTTTCTCTCTTGTTTTTTCAACAGTCTCAACGGAGTTTTCACCGGCGATGCAAAAACCTCCAATACTAAATTGTAATTAGAAATTAAGATAGTTATTTTTAGCTATAGAATATATAGCTGAAATAAGTAGGGTCTTCTCCAGTACTGTTCGGGAAATTTGCACACTGACTTTGCAGAATTCATCCTCTCCAATCATCAATGTTGAAGTGGTCATATCAGTAACAGGAAAAAAAATTTTCAGTACTGAAGGAGTAAATTATGATTTATCTCAGAGCAGGGCTGATTTTTTTCTGTAACAATGCTGATAATAAAATGAATTTATAATTTATCTCTCTTTGATTGCAACCCGAGATTATGTTTTCAGTTAGAATCGGAATTGCTTTCAGGGCTTAAATGAAAATAAGTCTTTGCGTTAAAATAAGTCAGTTTGAAACTTGACAAATTTACCTGGTTTGAATTAATAAAGATTATATTCCCGGGTTGACCAAAAATGATAGTCATACAATTTTCATGCAACTCCATAATTACAGAAAATTGCATGAAAGGTGTATGACTAGCATTTTTACATTTTTGGCGGTCTCGCATTATAAATGCAATAGAAACAATAGACGTTTGCAGCTGTCTTACACAATTAATATAACAAAAATATCTAACTTTTTAATTTTGGCGAAAATTTTCCCAGATGATTGTTTCTAAAATTTGAAATTTTAAATTATCAGACATTGATCAAGGCATACAAAAGCATGCCATACAAAAGAAAGAAGAGTTTTAAGAATTTTTGAAATAAAAGTTTTTAAGAGAAAATAAAAAAAAATCCAATATTAGTATATCCAAGACTACGTTATACGCACCAAAAATTCAATTTTGAATGCAAAATATTTTTTTTTTCAAAAAATGTTTGTTTGAGCACAAAAATCAACTTGCGGTTGACAAATAACACAAAAAAAACACTGAAAAATTTTTGTTGTTGCCTTCAAAAATTTTTCAGAATTTACAGTCGACATTTTTGTGTCTATAACGTAGTCCAGGTTGAGTTTCTCACCCGAAAAACCGAAAAAATCACATGAAAATGTTTTTTTTTATAAACACGATTATTATCTTTTGTTTCATTTGCTAAAATAAAAATAAATTTGTAGAAAAAACAGGCCTTTTGTCTCAACCATCATACTTTTCAAGCTAAAAATTATCTAGCCGTTTTCAAAAAGTTACTTTTTTGGTATATGTTTTTACTATTAACTTTTATGGCTGAAACCACCAAAAGCAGTTTATCTGCGTGATAACTGCCAGTTACTCTCTGGGTTTTCTCATGATGAAAAATTCTTGGGTAGTGTTTCGGTTGAAACACAATATTTCGAAAGCAAAAAATTTTTTGAATATTCATTTATGGAAAAAATGCATATCAAACAATTTCATAGTTTGGAAAAACAGCTTATGAAACAATTTCATATATGGAACAAAAGCTTATTTTGCTATTTTCATACATATACTTTTACTCTATGAAATTGTATGAAAGAGTATAACTAGCGTTTTTTGCATTTATGAAAAATGTATGATAATCGTTTTTTGTCAACCCGGGTATATAAAATTGTATGATTAGCATTTTTTTGACAAAAGTTTTTCTTTTTTTAGTACGCTACACCAAATTTTTTTATCAAAACAAGAATAAAAATCTTCGACAGTTAGAAGGCACCATTTGAGCAAATTATTTTTGCAATTTGTATGACTAAATTTTTTTCATAGACTTAGTTTATGGAATGGTATGACTAGCATTTTTGGTCTATGGAGGTCAACCCGTGTTTACAGAGTTCCAAAGCAATTGCTTATGAATAGAAAAAACGAACATTAAAAATTGTGATAAGACTATTATTAATATAATGATCGCTAATGCTGGAGAAAATGAATTACATCACTGCAATAGTGAAAACATATGTCATTTCAGTTTGATCAATTTGATGTCATTTGACAATCAGAGGAAACAGAATCGAATTCGATTCATCGGCTGTGAAGTACGCTTAACTGGTGAACCAGGCAAGGCGGTCTGTGGGAAATCAGGGAAACATAACAGATGAAAAGTGTTGCTATATATTGTAATAAAAGTTCATGTGGAAATGAGAGATAGTGATGATGTGTTGAGATCTAGGACAAGTAAATGAAAAAGTATGAGAAATATAGCATAGCACTTGAGTAGAGGGAGAGAGAGATGGGTGGAAGGAGTGAACAAGGATGGTGGATGGTAAAGAAATCTCGACTCGGGTAGTGGATGAGTGTGCACTGCCCGAGTCGAGATTTTTAACCTGATTTGAAGCAAGATTTGAGCGGTTTGAGCGGTTTTTTTTAGACAATTACGCTCAAAATCTTGCTTCAAAATGAGCGGTTTGAGCGGTTTTTGAACGGTTTATCTAAAAAAAAAACGCTCAAAAACCGCGCAAGATTTCAACGGTTTTGAGTGGTTTATCTAAGAGTATCCAATAAAAGCATCCGATTGAATGAGGTTGAAGTCCAGTGGTGCTACATGTTTAGTCATCCAGGTAGATTGCAATAGAACAGTTGGAGCCACATGTATCAACAGAGCGACTCGCAATACAATAATCAATCCCATATTCATCCCCTGTCCCCACTCTAACATACATCCACTTGAGTCCACTTCTGCCCAGACGGGTGATGAGCTCATCCCTCATCTTCTGTGACGTCATACCCACTCTACTCTCCATATCAGACAACACACTCTTACTCACACTCTCTATCTTCTCTCTCTCCTCATCAGTTGCTTTTTGTCTGCTGTAGTCTGACCTAGGGACAGTGTAGATGTGCATGTTGTAGGGGTACTCTGTCTTGTTCTTCCACTCTGCTGTCTCACCCACTCCATCTTTACACTTGACACTATAGTCACTGTTTTTATCACAGACATAGATGAACCAAATGCTCCCAGAGTATGTATTCATAAAGGCATCTCTGATATCCACTGCTGTATTCTCTGTGCTCTTCCCTTTTGATCCTCTCAACATTATCTCCGCAGTCTTCTTCCACTGAGCTGAAACAGCACGCCACCTTTCTACCTAAACTTCCAAACCACGTTCATTTCTTTTTGAAAATCTAGATTCTTGTATGATAATTTCGGCATCTTAATGACCCGATTCGAGATTTTTTCACCTAATTTGAAGCAAGATTTGAGCGGTTTGAGCGGTTTTTTTAGACAATTACTCACAAAATCTTGCTTCAAAATGAGCGGTTTGAGCGGTTTTTGAACGGTTTATCTAAAAAAAACGCTCAAAAACCGCGCAAGATTTGAGTGGTTATTGAGCGGTTTTTTTAAGATAAACCGCTCGAAAACCGCTCAAATCTTGCGCGGTATTTGAGCGGTTTTTTTAGATAAACCGCTCAAAACCGTTCACATCTTGCGCGGTTTTTGAGCGTTTTTTTAGATAAACCGCTCAAACCGCTCGAATCTTACATATTTTCCAGTGGTTATTTTGCTCGAGCATTTGAAAAAAGTTGCTCACATTGTTTTTGGTCAACACATCGAAAAAAATCTTGCTTGATTTAACAACGGTCTAACAGCACTTTTTTTAAATTGTAGATAGTAATTCAACTGCATCTTAGCGTGGTTTGACCAAAAATGCTTATCCTAAACTTTCCATATATGATAAAATGCTGGTCCTTACAATTTCCTACAGTTTCATAACCTCAAAAAATTGTAAAAGAAAACTCTAGGATAAGCGTTTTTTCATATATGGAAATTGTAGGATAAATATTTTTTCATATATGGAAATTGTAGGATAAACTTTTTTTCATAAATGGAAATTGTGGGGTAAACATTTTTTCAGATATGGTAATTGTAAGATAAGCATTTTATCATAAATGGAATTTGTAAGACAAGCATTTTTTCATAAATGCTTTTTATCAAGAGAATTGTTGTGGCTACAAAATTTGTTTTTTTTTTAAATTTTTTTTTAATTCTGTTTTCCAAAGATTGCGAAATTATACTTCTTAAGAGACCCTAAACTTAATCCTAACCCTAACCCCAACGCTAATTTGAGTCATTTTCGGAGAAGACAAACTGTGTGGCTCCGACCCTTCGAGATCTCAGTTTTACTCGTCGTAAACTACCAATGTGTGACAAGTAAAACTGAGCAAAAAAATTGGCTTTGAAACCTCGATTTTGATGAGCAAGGTATTTTAAATTGAGCAAAAGCACTCCTATTTACTTTAATTTCGATTAAAAACAAGTTTTAACATGTTTCTGAACATCTTGCTTTTAATGAAAAAATGATTATTATACAATTTTCATAAATATAAATTGTATGATAACCATTTTTATTAGCTTCAATTAAAATTTTCGTTTTTGATGAGCAATTTCCTTTAAAATGAGCAAAAGCATTCTTAAATAATTTAAATTTGTTTAAAGATAAGTTTTAACAATTTCTGAAAATCTTGCCTCTCATAGAAAAATGGTTATCATACAATTTTCATATATGGAAATTGTATGATAAACATTTTTTTCAAAAAAAAAAAACAAACGTAGTTTTTTTTATCCCCAGACTGTTGTATTTGGTTCAAATAGCCGGAGAAAATAGTTTGAATCTTTTTTCAGTGGTTTTTTGAAGATGTATAAAAATTGTATGATAAGCTTTTTTCCATACATTTGATGCAGGCAATTGTATAAGCATTTTCGGTTTGGGGAAATGTAAGACAAGCCTTTTCGGTTTATGGAGGTCAACCCGGGGTCACATTACCTTTCCAGGCTTTTTGTTGGTTTTAATCGGTTTTCTTTATAAGACCGCTCGAAAAACGTTTAAAAACCGCACAAACCTTGCTTGAAAAACCGTTCAAAAATCAACGCAAGAAATGAGCAGTTTTTGAGCGGTTTGTTAAGCAGGATTTGAGCGGTTTGAGCGTTTTTTCCACAAAAAACTGCCCAAAACGCCTTGACCGCTCAAACTGCTCAAATCTTGCTAAAAAACCGCTCAAACCGCTCATATCTTGAGCGGTTTTTGAGCGGGATCGCGACCCAAGGAATCAGCTTGTAAACCTTTTCATTCTTCTGGATATTTCTCTCAATTGGAATCAGTTCTAAACTAGAATTTATAAATTGTTATAAATATATAATTTCTAAAATATTCCTAACTAACCAATCATATTCCATACTTAACGTTTAAACCTATTCGTAAGTGCTGAAATTACTTGTAGTTTCAGCACCAGAGCAATTGGAATTAAACTTCGAATACAGTTGTTCTCTTTCTGGAAACTAACTCGCAAAAACCAGTGTACACTAGATCTATTGATACTACGTGATATAAGAGTAAGATTAAGATCGGTATTAGACTAAGAAGTTGCACAAATCTATCCGGCCCGAAAATAGGATAGCGTGACGAGCAGACGGTGTACTTTATCTGAAACTACTCTATGAGTACAGTCAATAGCACATAACTCATCTGGTGCGACCAAAAGTCTCGAACAAGACCTTAAATAATTTATATTTAGAAACAATAGACTTTAGAATTAGACAATAGCAAAACTGCAAAAAATGTTACATGAAAAAAACAATTTATTAGAAATGTCTCTCCGACTCAAAAGACGACCGCCAATTTTCCAATCAATACGAGAAAAACCAGGTATTGCGAGAAGACCAAGTACCAAGCACCATCTACGATTAGGAAGAAATCTATCGATTTATTTCATGATAGTATGCCGGAAATCGGAACAAACCTATATACTTAGAATACTTTCCGCAGTAAATATAACTGACATAAAATTTCATTTTCATTTGCTGACAAAAAATTTGAAGGAACGATTCAGCAAGCTTAATGGTGCTTAACCTACTTTTTATACAATAACGACTGATAAAAACAACACAAGTCGTTCCCTCCAAAAATTCTACAGTAAATCAAAACATTTTGAATGAAACAATTTATCGAATAAAAATAAATTAGTTAAAAGAAAAATACTTTGTTAGTTTTAATAATCTGTCACATCATTTCTTCATCCCAGCTTCACCTAAAAAAATATCAGCAAATTACACAAAGCTAACGTCATCTAAACTTTTATCTTCAACCTTTAAAATTTAAATTTTTGCATTAAACCGTATCAAGGCTTATCCTTGTTTTCTATCAAATTATCTCAACTTAAATAACAGTTCATCAAAGTTTTCCTTGGATCTTTGAAGTAAACTAAATAAAAAGTTTTTTCTCCGATCATCAAGGCTTTCCTTGGATCAAACAGAACAATTTTACTCCCCCCCCCCCTCCACATTTTATAGTGTCTGTAGACCTCAAACGTCAATTCACTACCCAACCCTTATCAACGACCCAGAACTAACAGAAGTTTTGAAAGAACTAATCATTTTAACTAGGATAAACAGTGAAGAAATTCGGTTCACTCATTCTCCACTTGATCCCCTTCCTCTTAGATGACCCAGGCTAAAACACTTAAACTTAGTAAGTCTTAAAAAGTACCTAATGATCTACTCGCGTTTCAAATATACCTGAACCTTGTGGATTGACTTACTATTCTTCAACACTCGATCACAAATCGCAAACCCTAGGTAAAATAAGGTAAGTCTACCTTTAATTAGAACTTAGTCACGAGAAAGTACAAAATCATTCTCACGAATCGATATACTACTCTCTCTCCAACCCGTCAAACCACGACAACCTATGCCCCAAGCTAAGATAACCACTCAAAACGCGTGAGGATTAACAATTTAAGAAATTAGAAACCTCTAATCCAAATATTGCATCCATCATCCTAAACCTTATATCAAGAGATAATCTAGGTAACAAACAAACAATCGTATTACATAAATGTTTATTCAAAAACGCAAGATAAGACCTTGTAAAAACACCAAACAGAAAAGCAATAAGATATATTAGATCAAAACAACAAACACGAAAAAAAGACAACCATAACAAAACGAAAACAAATTATCAGAAAGCGATTTTCAAAACGAAGAAACGCAGTGTCAGAATCAGACGCAAACACAATACAGGAACTTCAAGATTTTAAAAATTCCATAAGCAAGCATAACCCGATTGACGACCAAATATATTTCTCCGACTCAGAAGCCACCACATTATAATCAATAAAACGAAAACGCAAAACAAAAAAGTCATAGATTAACAAACCAATACACTTATCTAATTGGAATCAACCAATAAGACATATTGAATGTTACACACTAATAATTTTAAAATTTAAAACATGATCGAATACAACCAAATTTTCAACGATAACTTGATACTTCCATTTTCTATAAAACCGCAAAATAATCCCTCCCGAGGACAAGTACAATTTTGTCATGACTTAATTGTAAATTTAATCGAAAAAGGAATTAGTCTATGTAAACAAGAATTTGCTGAAGTACAAATGAAACGAAAAATCCTTGATCATTACCAAAAAGATGTATGCAGTATCTCATCGCTTTATGGTATATTCTCAATCAAATCACTAAAATTAAATCACAAAAAACACCAAATACAAACAGAAGACATAGATACAGAGCTCTCAAACGTTTTTACAGACTATATAAAAAGTATACAACACCAAAACTCACAAGAAGCAAATTCCATATTCACAAACGATGTATTCTCAAATATTTATAGCTATCTATCCATACTAGAATTGAGAGAAACACAAGGTGACTCACCAACTCAAACATCCCGTCATAGAGCTGTAAAACAGGAAGTAAATGTTTTCTCGAAATTTTTAAACACAATCCGTGAAAATCTCACTTATAACGATATATCACAAAATGATAAAGAAAATCTACAGCAGAAAAAAGCATGGATTATAACTGATTATTTTGTCCATAATCTTGATCTTAAATCACTAGCAAGAAAAAAAATCAACCACAAAGTTCAGACGAGGAAACTATATTGGCAGATGAAAGACATTATGTTTGGGACAGTCCATCATTTTACTAATATACCAGCTGACATCTCAAGTCAAGCAATTACCACAGTTTCTACAAATTCTATAAACAGAAATTTTGTTACAGTAACCCACTTACTACTGATTCAACACCTATAAACCATA